GCCTGTCTCGTAATGCCTTGCGGCGTGGCAGGCAGTTGCATTATCAGCTGTAGGCTGCCTAGCGCCACTGACCTTCTGTGTTCGGCTTAGTGGACATGCGTTGCCCTTTTTCACACTGCCCGACCCAAGATTGCATCATTTGAGAGTGCTGAACATGCGACCATTCTAGCACCAGCTGCGAGCAAGATGTCACAAATCCATTGAGAATAATAAGAGTCATTTTAGGAGTGTTCTGCTTCTGGTTTCATAACGGCCAAATTACGGCTGCGAGACAGAGTGTTGCTGCTTGGGTCGCTCTTGCTTGTCGGAGAGCACGATGCTAAGTAATTACAGAGTCCTGAGAGCTCCACACTTCCTTCCCAAAACAGCCTCACATCCGGTGTCTGCGATAAGGCTTTAGCAGTCTATTTTTCTGAGGTAGTTTTACAGGTAGTTTTACAGGTGGTTTTACAAGTAGCTCTTAGCAATGTACGTCGTCTGTATTTCGTACACTCCGTACACCTTCTCGACCTCGTTGGTTTCCTACTTCCTTTTTATAGCTTCCATGCTTCATTCTAGACGGCTGCCGAACACTACGACATACCGAGGCGTTTCCTGGTCGCTACTTCCTGGCTGCCCGTTAGTACCTTCCCAGCCGTCCCAGCTGCCAGCTACCTGCCCAGCGATCTTTCCCGCGCCGCCCGCCTGTATTTCGGTCCCGCACGGACGCCCAGCTCTCTTTCGCGCTTACTCCAGAATTAACGTTTCTCTCCCCTTTACATCCGCCTTGCAGCAACCACTTTTCTCCGACCACTTTCTTACCACCTTTGCGACGACCTCTTTGCTTTGGCCCAAGCATCACGACGCGACACCCACGACACGCAACTCAGCTCGCACACCTCCGCGTCACCCTCGCGCAGCCGTCACGATGGTCACCCAGTGGATCGACTGGTCCAAGACCACCCGCTCCAAAAACTACCGCGGCTCCAACTCGTTTGCCACGTTCATGATCATTGGCCGTATGTTCCTGTTGCCGGCGAATGCCCTCCGTCTGCCTCCCTCTCCCTCCCTCTCGCTAACACTGTCCAGCCGTCTGCTTCTTCCTCGGCATCCTGTTTGCCTTCTTCCCCTACGACTTCCCCCTGCTCTGGACGTCGGCCCCCGTCCCGCCCGCCTACTACGACCAGCTCGAGATCCACCTCAAGTTCATGCACCAGAGCCCGCCCTTTATCGCCCGCCTCCTGTCCATGGTCATTTCCGTCGGCTTCTTTGGCTTCTTCATCAAGCTCTTCCGCCCCTCCGAGGCCAACGTCCTCTTTGACGGCGCCTCCCTCGTCCTCTACCTCATCGGCACCGGCATCTACATCTCCAACATCGTCCAGGGCCTGCGCACCGTCTCCGCCAACATCTGGGACGACCCGGCCGCCTTTGCCCACTCGGGCCCCCTGTCCGGCGACGTCGTCCTCGGCCGCGAGGACTCCCTCAAGGTCCTCTCCGCCTCCAACACCATCCTGGCCGTCGTCCTCGTCGGCGTCCTCATCCTGCAGGCCGGCCAGTGGTACGCCGAGCGCCGCGAGGCCGACGACTACGAGGAGCAGGACCGCAAGGACGCCGAGGACGCCGCCGCCGCCGCTGCCGCCGCCGCCCCGAACAGCCCGACCTCGGCGAGCACCAAGAAGAAGCAGTAGAGGAGAGGCTGGAGGAGGACGTGGTAGAGAGGAATTGGGACATGAGAAAGGGAAAAGGAAAAGAGGAAAGGTGGAAAAGAGGAAAGGGAACGATTGAGTGGTCGTGGCCGAGGCGACATGCTGCAAGACTCCGACAACGGCCGACGAATGGCAGCATAGGAGAAAATGGTTTCCGGGTCATTACACATTGTATATGGTGTGCCTTTTTTTGTTTCAATTTGTTTTCATTTTTTTAATGTTTTGCCACGACGCATGCAATATAGTAACATGATTAAATGGCATATAAATATCAGTCAATAAGTACATAGAATGGAGCACAATGAAAGGCAATGCGTTTCGCCGTCGGCTGTTAGCTATGTCCATGCCCAGATAATACACAAGAGTAAAAGCACAAACGAAAAAACAAACGCCAATCCTGCCAAGAGTACTGCCTTGCAATGTTCGTCCAGTTCCAATGCTGAAATGAAATGAAAGTCATCAGTTGGATGATGCTCATGCTGTGAGCGTCTATGCTAGGAGGGAATGCTGTGCCCTGCCAAAAACTCCGTGACAAAATGAAACAAGACAGAATGAAGTACGTCAGGATTAAAACAAAGGTAAGAAATTAAAAAGGAGTGTGCTTGAAGACGGAACGTTGTCTTCCACAAACAAGAAGAGAAAGGAGAGAGGTGTGTTGCGTAAAAGAGTGGTAGCCGACGCGCGAAGAAAAACGGGAAAACGGCAATGGACGACGCTGGAAACGTGGGTAATGGGCGGATCTCTATTTGGTATCTTGGGGCACAAAAGGAAAGAGACTGAATGAAAAGAAAAGGAGTGCAAATAAAGGAGCGTATGAGCGTAGGAGAGATGAATACAAGAGAAAAGAGACTACCGCCGTCGTGATGCCGGTGACGACTGTACACTGTTCGGCACATACGGCCGCTGGGGATCCAGGTTGGCCGCCTGCAGCAGGCTGCTAAACGTCGTCAACCGATCGTTGCTGCGGTTTCGCTGTTGCGCAGCGTCAGACGCCGTGAGCGTGTAGCTGTTGCCGTTGCCAGCCGTGTTGTTGGTCGTTGCCGCCGCGGCCCGGCCCGGCGGCAGGAGTGTGCCCGGCGGGCTGATGGTAAAGTTGCCGCCAAAGGCAATGATGCTCGGGTCGACGCCCACGTTGATCTCCTCCGTGCTCGGCTCCCGCGGCTGGTGCTTTGGCTGCTGCGCCCGGGGCGGCAACGTGCGCATGCCCCGGATGGGGGTCACCGAAATGGAGTCCCGCGCCTGGCGGAGGGCCAATGGAGGAGGCGATGGAGACGGCGGCGAAGGGAGCTCGCGGTCTAGGCTGGCGCCGGGCGGTGACGGGTTGCCCTTTTGCTGCTGTGCCGCGCGGCCGTTCGGATAGCCGACGGAGCCGACAGTGGAGCTGGGTGCATCACCGCTGCTCCCGATGCCACCACCAAAGCTGCTGGCTGGTGTGACCGGGCGCGAGTAGTCGCCCGAGAATGGCGGCTTGCGAATAAAGTCGGTGCGGAAGGCCGTGGCATCGCCCTGTGGCTTGGGCGAGCTGATCGAGAGCGGGTTGTTGATAATGTTGCCAAACGACGACGTCGAGCGGTTGAGCTTGTTGGCGTCCGACATAAAGTTCATAGGGTCGCGCTGCTTCATGCCGCTGCCGAGACGGCTGCCACCACCGCGGCCGCCGGCACCTCCACTGCCGCCCCTGGTGAGACGGCGGCCACAGAGGAACCATACAGCCGCTCCAATCAGCAGCACACCCGCCAGGCCACCAATCACCCCTCCGGCTATCGAAGCGGCCGAGGCGCCGTTGGACTTGTCGTCCGCGCTGGCCACGGCGCTCTCGCTGACACCGGTACCGGATGTGCCCGACGAGCCGTCCGTCCTTGTTGGTGAGGCAGCCGTCGCCGTGTCCGTGCCCGTGTAGACGGCGACTGTGACGGATGAATCCGCAGTTGTGGTCATCTGCGCGCCGCCAGCTTGCGCGAGTGATGCTGACGCTGACGTGGACGTAGATTTTGATGATGATTTTGTGGATGTTGTCGCTGTCGATGTCCCCGCTTTGGTAGCCGTCGTCGTTGGGACGTTCTGGAGCGGCGCGGCATTTTGGTTGGCTTGCATCACGCAGAGGCCGTTGCCGTTGCAGTTGTAGCCAAAGGGGCAGCAGGAGTCGCCGCACTTGGTCATGACACCGTTGAGAGCGGACGTCTTGATGGGCGCCTCGGGATGGGTCTCCGGGTCTTGCTGCGACAAGTCACAGGTGATGGGGTTGATGACGGTGCAGTTTTGGCCCGTTGGGCAGCAGAGAAGCGTCGTGTTGCCAGCGAGCACATTGCAGACCGAGTTGGCAGGGCAGCAGAAGTCGCTCGGCAGTGTGGTGAATCCCGGGCATGTCGAGAAGCCGCTTGCGCAGCCAGAGGTCGCTCGATCGAAGATGGCAGCACCCAAATTGTTGACGGGAATGGAGAGGGCGTTTGCGGTTTGTATGGTGGTCCAGGAAGCTGCGGCGGCGAGCAGCCAAGCCGCCCGGAGCGGCGATTTCGTCATGGCCGGAGAGTGTGCGTTCTCCGCCATGGACGCACGGGTAATAGGAGTCGCTATGTCGGCGGAGTGGCAATTGCTCTCTTGTTGTTCTTTCTGCCCTTTGGTTATGTCGCACAGCGACGTTTGTCGTATGAAAGTGACGCGTTTTGTGTCCGTTGAATTTTTGTTTCTTTTCCGTTTGTTTATTGTGTTTCGCTGGTGTAAGTGAGTTGGCGATATGCGGCCAGGATCGACGGGAAGGCAGATCTGGAACAGTTTTGTAAATTTCGGGAAGCGAACAGCGGTAGGCCAGGTAGGGGAGGCCGCTCGAATAATCAATATGTCGGTAGTCGGGAAACACAAGAATGTTTGCTTCGCAGAAGTTTGAAAATAAAGCAGAAAATAAGAGACGACGAGAGGCGAAAAGAGAAAAAGGCCCAAAATAGAAGCAAACGGCCAGGCGGCCAGGCGCCTGGGAAGTGGTCGGCGGCAACGGGGGGAAGGCCTCTTTAGATATAAGAAGAGTAGGCGCAGCCAGGCCAGTGATTCATGAACGGGCCGTTTGGACGAGTCGTGGCCGTGAGGTCGGCTGATCGGACGGATCTGTTTGCTGTTTGCCTGGTTCCTTGCGTCAAGCAAAGAGGAGGGATAGGGAGGATGGAAAAGGTGTGAGAGCGAACAAACATAGAACCTTGTCAAAAGACGGACTCTCATGAAAGAAAGGAAGAGGCAGAAAGATGTAGGGGGAAACAATGGAAAGCGAGTGAAAGAGGGAGATGAAAGAGAAACGGGGAGCAAGAGAAACATGAACAAACCACGATGGACAAAACGGCGCAAAAAGTGAACAAACGACTGGCTGGCCTTTGTGCGGACCACGATACCAAGATGGGCAATGACTCTGACGGCCCCTGCTCAAGGAGCTTTCCGAGCGCAACTTGGCAATCCTCTCCAGACGAAAAATACAAGAAATACAAGGCACAAGGCATACGCGAAAATGTATGGACGGATCGCCGGTGGCCAGTGATCTCATTGAGTGTTTCTGTGTTTGACCAAGTGGTCCTGGCTGGGGAGAAAGAGGGGCTCTGACCATCGTGATGACGGGACACAATCGCGCACACGCATACACATACTCCGTAATTCAAAGATGCATGCCTCTGCACACAATCCCCAGAGCACTTACACGGTGAAATTGCGGGGCGCACGCTTTTGTAGGAGAAAACAGGAGAACGAGAAAACTTGGGAGGTACCTTTCTCACAAAAATGGCAGAGACGGTACGGCATCGCAAGGTGCAAGCAACGTGACGCACGTAGGGGAACGGGAGGATTGCATCGAAACAATAGGCTGGAGACCGTCCAGACGAATGGTACCCTCCCCAAGGCTCAATACGTGCTGCACCGGCGCATATGAATGTACTCCGTAAAACTGTCGTAATACCCCGTTAGGTGAAAATAATGGGGAGAGGAACAGCAGAGCAGCCAGCAACAGCAGCAGCCAAAGCAGAAAAGACAGGGCCGGTTCTGTGCAGCGACGTCAGGAGGAAATGGTTGGCTGGTGCGACAGCCCAGGGGCCACGAGATGTTTCACTGGGGCGCCCATGGCGAGCGTGGTGAGCGACCCGCCGCCCGGATCTGAGGCATACACGTTTCGCGAGCACGCAGGGTGCAGCGAAACGAGAGGCCCAGGAGCTTTGGGAGTGTCTCTCTTGCCTTTTCCACGAAGAGAATTGTTCGTCGCTGGCTTGTCTCGCCTTTTCTTGCCACTGTCTCTCGTGAAGTCCAAATGCAAGCGCTTTCGTCGCGGTTCGCAGCGCCTGCAGGGGTTCCTCCATTTACAGCTTCATAGAGGTGTTGTAAGTCGACGCTCATTGGCCAGTGTGTCTCGGCACTTTTCATGCTCGATTCATCCGTTGGCTGTCAACATCTGGCATGGATTTCGAGGGCGCCAGACCAGGGTGGTCAACAGTGGCTCAGAGGCTCGCCCACAAGGGCCTTTGGTTCCTTCTTTTCCATTTCGTGTGCCTTGGAACGTGTATGTATGACCATCATTTTAACTGCCTGTTGTCCGTTGGGCCCACGACGAGAGCGATGACGACAACTGCCACGGAACGGCCATGATCCGTCTTTGACCGTTGGTCATTCGGGCGCGGCCGCCTCTTCCTTTGTGGCTTCGTCCTGCATCCTAGGTAGGAAGCAAGCCTTATGTGTGGCGTGTGCCTTTTCTGTCCATTAGGAGCTGTCACGCTCTGTTTTTGTCATATGTTCTTTGTGTTCGTCTTGTTCTTTTGTTAGAACTGGCCAGCAACATTGGGCCTCAGAGGCGACTATCTGTTCTTTGTGATTTGTCGTTATTTGGGTGCTCGTTGAGAGGTGTAAGTCTGTACGCGACAACTGTTTATTTTTATTTTATTTCTTATATTCCCGGTACCCTGTCCAAGGAGGATGGTCAGTTCGGCATGATTCTGATCAACGAATACCTCGTGACTCTTTGGTTCCGGTAGATCACCAAAGCATCAAAACGAACCGAACAAAAGGCACCATGTAATCAAAGAGCGGCGAGAGAGAGAGAGAGAGAGAGAGAGAGAGAGAGAGAGGAGGAGAGAGAGAGAGANANAGANAGANAGNNGNA